AAAAGACAGTAAATTACGTATTCAAGATTTAAAACTACCCTTTCCTGAGGAGAAAACCAGTCAGTTCTATAAAATGTTTGAGAGAGATAAAGTTATGTCATTTCTTAAAGTTTATGAATAATTTAGTTTTTCTCTAATTGACATGATCTGAAAACATACAGTGATTTCGAGAGTTATCTTAACGTTTAATCTTCGTACGAATTATGTTATAACACAATATTGCATAATATAATTGCCAAGTACAGTAAAATCATCGATCCAGTCAGAATTCATATAAAATAATAATAGTAAGAGGATTGAAACATCTAACAAGGAAAATAAGACAAGGACATTTTAAGATGTATAGAAAAACAAAACTGGTGTGTTTGTCATAATTGGGTGGTACACGCATAGCTAAAAATACGCTTAAGATTGAACAAGCTATAGAAATAAATGTTAAAAGTATTCATCATTCTACAGAACAATTCATAATGAAGAATAGCTAGAATACTAAAATTTAATTATCAAACATATATAAACAGTTATTTGGAGTTAGTAGAGTTATTTGGGTACAACGATTCGTGTTTAACAATGTCTTTTGTGGCTTAATTATCGAACATATATAAAGTTTTGAAAGAGCTATTTGGAGTTAGTAGAGTTATTTGGGTACAACGTTTCGTGTCCAACAGTGTCTTTCGTGTCTTAATTATCGAACAATATAAAGTTTTCAAAGATATATTTGGAGTTAGAAGAGCTATTTCGGAACAACGTTTCGTGTCTAACAATGTCTTTCGTGTCTTAATTATCCAACAATATAAAGTTTTAAAACAGCTAGTTGGAGTTAGTAGAGTTATTTGGGTACAACGATTCGTGTCTTTCATGTCTTAATTATCGAAGATATATAAAGTTTTGAAAGAGGTGTTTGGAGTTAGTAGAGCTATTTGGGTACAACGTTTCGTGTCTAACAGTGTCTTTCGTGTCTTAATTATCGAAGATATATAAAGTTTTGAAATAACTATTTGGAGTTAGTAGAGTTATTTCGGTACAACGTTTCGTGTCTAACAGTGTCTTTCGTGTCTTAATTATCCAACATATATAAAGTTTTCAAATAGCTAGTTAGAGTTAGTAGAGTTATTTGGGTACAACGTTTCGAGTCTAACAGTGTCTTTCGTGTCTTAATTATCGAAGATATATAAAGTTTTGAAAGAACTATTTGGAGTTAGTAGAGTTATTTGGGTACAACGTTTCGTCTCTAACAGAGAGACATGTATAACATTCAAAGTACAAACATATGATGAAGTCTAACTGTTAGAGATGAAAAGTAGTAACCGAATAAATTTACTACTTCACAAATAGCTGTTTCAAAAACTTTACATATGGTCCAACTAGTTTTGATTGAACATATCTGCACACTGGTTCAGTGAAATTGCGCTCTTTTGAACACTTACATCGGGTAAGCTATGTTTAAACTTCCAACCGCTTTCAGCTTCTCATGAATGAATACGAGCGTCTTCACTATACAAAAATCCCTTCAAGATTTTTTTGGAGAGATTAAGAAACGATTCAACTACAGAGCGAAAGCACGAGACTCACTTTATATATTCAAGATAGAAACCTCGTAACCAGAGACGGATGGATGACATTAGCGACCCCTACACTGAACCCACTCCTTCTTTTCGTTTCTTAGGAATTTAATGCCACTTCAAGAAGAATCTCTACAAGGTTGTAAATGTCTAACTTTGTCCAGCATACAAAACTCTTCTGTATAAAATAAGGTGTTTAGAATAGTGTGCTGTGGGTGTTTTATATATCGACTGAGTGTGAAACTTTACTAAGTGTCTTCTTTTGTTGCTTTTATATTCTGCAGCCTCAAGTGAGATTACAACTAAAGTTAAAAGCGACACGGCTTACATTATCACTAAAGCTAGAAGTAACTCAGATACATTACATATAGCTAAAAAGTGACTCATGTTTATGTTACACCTAAAGCTAAAAGTGACTCATGCTTATGTTACAACTAAAGTCAAAAGTGACTCATATACATTACATATAGCAGAAAAGTGACTCATGTTTATGTTACACCGAAAACTAAAAGTGACTCAGATACATTACATACAGCTAAAAAGTGACTCATGCATTGCATTTTATAAGAAACGTTAGTAGTATGTTTGTCAGTTGTTGCATTGTATTTTATAAATAATGTTAGTATTATGTTTGTCAGTTGTTGCATTGTATTTTATAAAAAAACTTTAGTATTATGTTTGCCAGCTGTTGCATTGTATTTTATAAAAAAAAACGTTAGTATTATGTTTGTCAGTTGTTGCATTGCATTTTATAAGAAACGTTAGTATTATGTTTGTCAGTTGTTGCATTGTATTTTATAAATAATGTTAGTATTATGTTTGTCAGTTGTTGCATTGCATTTTATAAGAAACGTTAGTATTATGTTTGTCAGTTGTTGCATTGTATTCTATAAATAACGTTAGTATTATGTTTGTCAGTTGTTGCATTGTATATTATAAGAAACGTTAGTATTATGTTTGCCAGCTGTTGCATTGTATTTTATAAAAAAAATGTTAGTATTATGTTTGTCAGTTGTTGCATTGCATTTTATAAAAAACGTTAGTATTATGTTTGCCAGCTGTTGCATTGTATTTTATAAAGAAAATGTTAGTATTATGTTTATCAGTTGTTGCATTGCATTTCATAAGAAACATTAGTATTATGTTTGCCAGCTGTTGCATTGTAATTTAAAAAAAAAAAACGTTAGCATTATGTTTGTCAGTTGTTGCATTGCATTTTATAAAAAACGTTAGTATTATGTTTACCAGCTGTTGCATTGTATTTTATAAAAAAACAACGTTAGTATTATGTTTGTCAGTTGTTGCATTGCATTTTATAAGAAACGTTAGTACTATGTTTGTCATAGTAGTTTTTATATACTATAGATTTTAGTTTGGTACCCAGTTTTTGAATGAATTTAGTGTTTACTGGAATGTTATGTTTAGTTATAAGTTTTTTCCAAATGTTAATTATTTTGTCGCTGGTATAGAGGATGTAATGTAGGCAGCATTATAGTGTTTTGTTGTTGATTGTTTCATCATATCACATACAAATAAATTTAACTCAATCTCCACAAATGCAACAAAAACACGTGACTTACAACTGAACAAAATGTTATTTCTATTGAAACAAGCAAACATAATTTCAGTGTATATTTACGCCCGTACACCACAACTATACGAAACTCCCAAACCATACAAACCCGATTGTCCACTAAGACCCATAATGTCGACTAATGAATCATTTAACTATAACCTTTGGTTGCCAGGGGTGTGTATCAATGGGTTGGGGTCCTTGATGCAAATTTCTAATACTATGTTACAGGCTTCTGTGGTTGAAACTTCAGTAAAGAGGGAGACTGCGTCCAAGCTATTCATTAAGGCTTTAATGGCTTAGTTGTTCGAATATAGTTGTAATGTTAAATATATCTTTGGAAAAGGAGCCTGCAGATGTTACATATGTGGAAAATGCCCACGCGATGTATTTACCTCTTCTAGAATTTTCTGCCTCTAAAATTAATTTTATATTCAATAACCAAAACTACACAGAAACAAATGGGCAATCAGGTGTTACCAGTTCTAGTTTAACAAATAAAATAGGACCTACCAAGAAGCCACACGCTGTCTCGAGGTATCCATTAGTTCTTATCACTCCTTTCATGGGCAAACAAAGTTTTAAACTCAAATCTCAAATTCAAAACATAATCAAAACATATTACTCACAAATTAAGCAGTGTTTAGTGTTTAAGTGAACATTTAGAAATAAAAACTTGTTTAAACCCAAAGACAATCTACCAATCTCTATGTGCTCGTGGGTCGTATACAAACACGCTTTTGGTATTGTAAAGCTACCTATGTTTATAAAACTATGTCATCATCAAATACGTACATGGGAATTTTAGCTGGAAGCGGATATATAAACTAACTGATCCATCAGAATCCGGTATCTGATTATATAGTGGGAGTAACAAGCAATCCATACTTCTTAAAAACTTTAAAATCCTCGACTCTGGAACCACAGATTATGAACTCGTTATCAAAGAAACCGTCTCCATTTTCAATGATCAACCAACACTAAATAATAACATCAACTCCTCCCTGTTGTAATTAATTCAATAACTTCCAGATTCCCAGTGTTTTTATTTGATTATTATTATTATTTTAAAGCTGTAGTGTTTATTCTTATATTTAAGCCTTTCTTCATAATGGTTTCTCTTAACAATGTTATCACACACATGCTGCACGTATTACCTTACCTTCTATAATATTGTTATCGTTTAAATCTGTTCTTTCTAAACTTCTGATTGTATTAAAAAAAAAACAATCTCTTAATAGCCAATGTTGTTTTTTTGTAGTTAGAATATTGTTAACTAGGTTTCCGAGTTTTAACGCTGAAACAATTTCAAAAAAAGATCGTAATTAACGAAACACGGCAATAGCGTTTATCTAAGAAAGAAGAACCGTATTTTTTATAGACTGTAAAATATTATTTTGTTTTATGTCGTGTGTAGTGTGTTTTGGTTTTAGAAATATTGTGTTATGTATTAACTAACTGCAGTGACTGTTTATTTTTTTAATTTTCAACTTTTTAATTCTCGTGTTTTGTAAATAACTGGGATGTATTTGTTGATTTATAGGCTTAGGCGCAAGTATCGATAAAAGGGAATAGGGCAAAATAAATTTACATTATTAATTATGCTCAGATGGATAGAGAGATAGATGAATATTTATATGTTGAATTGTTTCTAGGAAACCATTTTCTCATTGATTTGAGGATATCAAAGGCTGTTTATCAAATGTTGGTGAATAAAGATAAAGTCTTTAGTCTACTACCAGGTTAGGCTCACTGCGCATGTTCTAGGGCGGTGTCTAGGCGGTGCAAATATACGACCGCGACGGTTGAGTCCAAAGACAGTCAGACAAGCTCCGTACAACGTCAGTGATTCGCATGCTGGATCAGAAGGCTGACTGATTTAATCCTCTCCATGTCTCGCCGTAAGCAGGCCAACCCCAAATCTCTGAAACGTAAGTTCTTTTCAGTTATACTGTATCAGGTAAGACAGATTATATTATACTAATTACGTCTGAAAGTTCTCGCATTCTGTAAAATAAGGACATAAACAGCCTTTTTCCCTATGAGGTTTTGTTGCATTGGTAACCGCTGGTTACCAGAACTAGGAGAAGTACAGTCCAGGGCGAGAAGCCCTCGTGCGAGAGGAGACTCTTCTACCCGAGGACAGTGTCAAGCGTTCTAACGTTTTGTCTTGAACCGTTGTATACTGAATTTTCATTCTTGTAAGTAATGTTCCGTGTGTTCGAAAAGTGAAAAAAAAACAAAAACTTAACATCACTAAAACTTTGTCTCCAGCTGAGGTTTTAAGGCAACCATAACATTTCATTCTGTTATCAGTGGTTTAAGACCTATGACATTTCCATAGTTAGTAATATAACGTAATGATAAAAAACAAAACAAAAAATCATTATAATTAGAACCTGTGTTTTGTCACAATACACGTAATAGCTTCTAAACAATTAGGGTTAAGAATATTTTACATAAATCTGTATGGTGAAGAATATCGAAGCCTTTGAAATTAAAAATTTGCATTTTTTTTTTCTGAATTGACACTATGATTAACCTTAAACATTGAGAACAATTTTAATTTTGAACGTAATAAACTTTTGGTATTAACTTATAAGTAATTTTCAAACGTTCTTACTAACGATTATTGGTTAGGACTTTGAGAATAAGACAAACTTTTCGAATGTAGGAAATGGCAATTCTTTACGACTGAAATGTAATGAAACCCCCTAGTAATACTATTTAGGCATCTCCTGAAATGGTAATTCTTTACGACTGAAATGTAATGAAACCTCCTGGTAATACTATTTAGGCATCCCTGAAATGGTAATTAATTACGACTGAAATGTAATGAAACCCCCTGGTAATACTATTTAGGCATCTCCTGAAATAGCAAATATTTACAATTGAAATACAACGAAAACAACTGTTAATAATATTCACTCATCTCCTGAAATAGTAAACCCTTACGACTGAATGATAATGAAATGTCTGGTAACAATAGATAACAATATCTTGAAACAGTAAACATTTACGATTGAAATATTATGAAAACTTCTGGTAACAATATTTAGTTATCTCTTGAAATAGTAAATCCTTACGGTTGAAATATAACGGAAACTTCCGGTAAGAATATTTAGTCATCTCTTGAAATAGTAAATCCTTACGGTTGAAATATAACGGAAACTTCCGGTAAGAATATTTAGTCATCTCTTGAAATAGTAAATCCTTACGGTTGAAATATAACGGAAACTTCTGGTAAGAATATTTAGTCATCTCTTGAAATAGTAAATCCTTACGGTTGAAATATAACGGAAACTTCCGGTAAGAATATTTAGTCATCACTTCTGAATGGAAACGTCCCTTGATAGACAATAATGATATATGCATTCAGGATTTAAAACATACAAGTTTTTGCAATAATATTTGTAATTACCCTTTATAAAAAAAAGCCCCACAATTTAAAATACTTAAAATGTTCGGCTTGAAAAATGTACTAAACTTTGGGGGCCGTTCGGTCTCTAAAGAAGCAGCGTTTTATTTGCTAAAAGTAGCGTTCGCTTAATCTATTATTAAGGACGCGTAGATCAAAAGCCGGGCCAGCCCCTTGTCAGGGTGAAAAACAGCGGGGCAATCAGTCCACGCAGTCCAATAACAGGTTCCGTGCTACAGAGCAACACGTTCCCCAGCTATTTTAGAAACTTTAGGTGAAGTTAGGTGCCTTGGTGTTACTTTAAGGCGTTAGTCGCATATTTCGTGGCACTTTTGTTAAAAAGACGAGAATAATGCGTGAATTTTAATTTTAGATGTTATTTTTAACGCATCAATGCGAGTCTCGAATAAAAGGTGAGACCCCAAACAAACGCTTATTTTGTTTGTGTACACACACACACACACAGTGAAAATAACATTACACGTTAATGTAACGAAGAATTAAAGCCTTTAGATGTTGTACTGAATAATCACTCAAAAAAGCCCACTTGTTGAAGGTATTTAGTAAAGAGTAAAAGGAATAGGGAGGCGGGTTGTATTGTTTACAAAGAAGAATGTAACATTGTATATTTTCTTTAATTGAATTAACTCATTGTAAAGGGATGCACAGTAAAAACTTCGTTATCCGGCATCTTGTATCCGGATAGTTCTCGTAACCGGAAATTTCAATATCTTCAATTACAAATACTCATTGTAGCTTAGTGGCGCTGCTGTGGCTTTGTTTACGTTCTTTCCCGCCGGCAAACTTCAGTTGTTAGTCGCCTTTATTTGCGATTCACATCTATAACACTGTACTTATAAATGTTTTTATACAGTTTAAGGTTGGTAAAAAACATTTATTTTTTTGTTTATAACTGTTATCATTATAGATACTGTGGAAATACTGTAATTTAGAACATTAACAAAGTGTCAAAACTTGTCCTGTAAAAACATCGTAAGGGAAACGCTTTCGTAACCGGAACTGTTTTACCGATCCGGCAGATGCCGGGTACTAAAGGTTCTACCGTATTATGAATGGTCTATGATGATACTCTATGCTCAAGTTGCACTTTCGACATAATAGTATTTTTAATATATTTGTTATTGATCAAGGTAAAGGAGAACGATCGCGTTTGTTAACTAGAATTTATTACATTTAAAAATCGAACAAACCGCTAACATTCCACCACAATACGAGGCCTAATTTATTTATTCCTCTCTTCCAAGCAGCATTGATGAGTCGTGAATTCGGCGAAACTGTAGTGAATCAAGGATTTGATTAGGCCTCTGTGTTATCTCTCCTATGAAACTCACTTTTTGGTGAGGAAAGGAAATTCACAAATAAATAGACACGTGGGTTGTTTATTCTCTTCATTCAGTTAACTAGAACATTTTATATGATTGCTTAGTTTCGGTCATTCCGGGTAATTAAATTGTTCTAAGTACTTAATTCCAGTTATTTCGATAATTAGAAATACTAGAAGGAGGTCTGAGTGTTTGGTTTACTCTTGTAGCTCGAAGGAGCTCTATGTATGTAGTATCAGTTATTGTAGAAATACTAGAAGGAGGTTTGAGTGTTTGATTTACTCTTGTAGCTCGAAGGAGCTCTATGTATGTAGTATCAGTTATTGTAGAAATACTAGAAGGAGGTTTGAGTGTTGGATTTACTCTTGTAGCTCGAAGGAGCTCTACGTATGTAGTATCAGTTATTGTAGAAATACTAGAAGGAGCTTTGAGTGTTTGATTTACTCTTATAGCTCGAAGGAGCTCTATGTATGTAGTATCAGTTATTGTAGAAATACTAGAAGGAGGTTTGAGTGTTTGGTTTACTCGTGTAGTTCGAAGGAGCTCTATATATGTAGTATCAGGTATTGTAGAAATACTAGAAGGAGGTTTGAGTGTTTGGTTTACTCGTGTAGCTCGAAGGAGCTCTATGTATGTAGTATCAGGTATTGTAGAAATACTAGAAGGAGGTTTGAGTGTTTGGTTTACTCTTATAGCTCGAAGGAGCTCTATATATGTAGTATCAGTTATTGTAGAAATACTAGAAGGAGGTTTGAGTGTTTGGTTTACTCGTGTAGCTCGAAGGAGCTTTTTATATATGTAGTATCAGTTATTGTAGAAATACTAGAAGGAGGTTTGAGTGTTTGGTTTACTATTATAGCTCGAAGGAGCTCTATGTATGTAGTATCAGTTATTGTAATAGCTCAAATAAAGAACTCTGAGTTCTTAGTTCTATTAGTTCTGAGAGCTGAATGTTTTGTTTTGGTTTATCATGAACAAAGAAAAACGTGTGTGTGTTTCTTATAAGCATAGCCGTAATTCTGAGTTTTTAGTTCCGGTCATTCTAATAACTCAACAAAACCCACCCACAGTGCTAGTTCCTGTCATTCTGATAACTCAAAACCCACAGTGCTAGTTCCTGTCATTCTGATAACTCTAACGAGACCAAGAGTGCTTAGTTCCGATCATTCTAATAATTCTAAAGAGACCCAGAGTGCTCAGTTCCGATCATACTAATAACTGTAAGAAGACCCAGAGTGTTAAGTTCCGGTCATTCTAATAACTCTAAAGAGATCCAGAGTGCTTCGTTCTGGTCATTCTAATAACTCTAAAGAGATCCAGAGTATTAAGTTGCGGTCATTCTAATAATTCTAAGGAGACACAAGTGCTTAGTTCCGGTCATTCTAATAACTGTAAAGAGACCCAGAGTGTTTATTTGTGGTCATCTTGAGAAACAGATAGGAAAACATAAAGCACTAGATTTCATTATCTTCGGGTTTTGCTAGATAATTGTCAAACCTTCAGCATTTTGTCTCAGAGCAGATATTATGTGATAGTTCATAAAAAAAAAAATCAGCATCATTTCTGGAGATCATTCGCCGTTATGTCGATAATGCCACAGAGGTCTACTTTACCTTTAGGCCCCTGCCATGTTGTTAACTGTAGTGCTAATTAAGTAATAAACATTCATGGTTAAGAAAAAAATAATAATATCCGAAATCCATTTATGAAATTTTCTTCAATTACGTACAATAAAGTGTTTGTTGTTAAGCAAAAAACTACACAATGGTTTATCTGTGCTGTGTCCACCACGGGTATCGAAACCTGGTTTTTACCTCAAAGAAATACACTTAATTTACTCAAAAAAATCCAGGGGCTTCTTATGCATGGGGATCGTCTTATACACCAGCAAATACAGTAACTCGTGTGCTACTCTCATCTTATCAAATAGTGGGATTTGGTTGTCATTTTTATAGCGCATCCGCATGCCAAAAGAACAAGGCACGTTTTGGTTGTTTCTTAGTTGTTTTTTTTTTTTTGCGTCAAGAGGCCGTGAGCCACGAACTCTCGAATTGTAGAGTCTGATCACGCTAACCTTCTAGACCACACTCGGCCTCAACAGATTATCAAAACGTGATTTTATTACTTGTATTCATGCAGTTTTGAACAATATAAAGTTTTGATGCTTTGT